CTGTAGTTCCAGCTATTTGGAAGGCTGAGGTGGAAGGATCACTGGAGCCCAACAGGTCGAGGCTGTGGTGACCGGAAGCGGCCACTGCACTCCAGTCTGGATGACAGAGTGAGACTCCAACTCAAAAAAAGAAAAAAGAAAAATTCCCCAAAGCAAGACAGATAGCCATACAAATAATCACAGAGAAGCAGTCTCTGGACCGAGGGAACAGACAAACAGGTGCACATGCGCGCACACAGCCCTCCCGCTCCCTCTACACCAGTCCACATTTTCTCCCCAGTAGGCTGCTGTGTGACTTAGAGTAGGCCATGCACCCTCTCTGAGCTCTCTTTCCTCTCTGATCTTAAACCCCTGGCCTGCCCACCTTCACCAACACCCCCCTACCCACAGCTGCTTTCTCTGCCTGAGACCCGCCCCCCGCAATTCCCATACTCTCTTCCCCGACCCTCCACCTCCCAGCCCCTGCCCCACTCTCACTCACAAAAGTTTTTTTAACTTCTTGACAAGGGACTTGCTTCTCCCTAACAAATATCATAGCCCCAAATTCCCAAGTACAGTATCCTTGGAGCCACAGAGAGTATACCTCAGTGCCCCTAAAATACACCCGGTATGATTTTAATAAAAAAAATTTACAAATATAGACCCGGGTGCCCCGTTGTGAAAATTACAACCATCTGGATCTCAAAATTTCCAATAATTAATCTAGCCCTCCTTTGACACCACTACTAATTAAAATATGATACCCACCTTTCCAAGGGGGAGAAAAAAGAAGAATTTACATAAAATTTAAAGATCTAACAAGAATTCAGTAACACTAGAAACAAGGGGAGGCACATTTTTCTCCCAGCCTCCCCCTACCCCTGTAAACACTGAGTCAGGAGTAGGACTCGGTACTGCAACGGGAGGGGCAGCAGCCCTTGGCCCTTCCTGTTCCTCTGAGTTCAAGCTCCCTGTAACCTCCTGTGTGAGTTCTCTCCCTGGGCCAAGCACACAGCAGCTCTGAGGCCTTTCTCCATCGCTTCACAAGGCTCAGGACCCACAGCGGGGTGGAGGTTTGTGGGGCCGAGGGGGGCAGGTCAGGACAATTCCAGGAGCTTATTTTTTTGAGCCTGTCTCACTGTCACCTAGGCTAGCGTGCAGTGGCATGATCATGGCTCACTGCAGCCTCGACTTCCTGGGCTCAGGTGATCCTCCCACCTCAGCCTCCCCAGCAGCTGGGACTACAAGCGTGCACCACCATGCCTGGCTAAATTTTGTATTTTTGTAGAGATGAGGTTTCGCTATGTCACCCAGGCTGGTCTCGAACTCCTGGGCTCAAACGATGCTCCTGCCCCGGCTTCCCAAAGTGCTGGGATTTGGGTACAGGGATTCAGGTGTGAGCCACCATGCCTGCCCAGTTCCAGGAACTCCTGGTGAGGGGAAAAGGTGAGAGTTTGGTGGTGCACAGATTGGATATGAATCCCTGGCCCAACCTGCCAACTGTATGACATTGGGCCTCAGTTTCGCCTCCTGTAAAATGGGGATAATCACCCTTAAACGTCAACAGTTATTGTGAGGATTATACACTATGAATAGCCGGGCACTCTGTTCTCAGAGGTCGGGGAATTCAGAAACTGTTGTTTAAATTTCCTAAAAACTGCAAAACCAAACCGCCCCCCCCCAAAAAAAAAGCCTGGTAGAAAGAAATCAGACATGTCTACAGGGGTGGAAGGGAAGCAGCACCTGCCTCTGGGTCTTGCCCTCCCATCTTAACTCTCCTGAATACTTCGGAGTTTCAGGCCTCCCACACCATGATGTGCACCAGAACATGCCTGGTGGTGGCGTCCAGAGTCAGGAGGTAGCTGAAGTCATGGGGCTAGAGTGCTGGGTGGGGGGGACTCTGCTCTGCGGCCCCTCCCAGCACATACCTGGACCTCGGTCCTCATGACAGCCGGCTATGCGCTGGGTCTGGCTTCCCATAAGCCCACTGAAGCCACCCATCCCCACAAGGTTGGATGTCTTTGTCCCCATGTCACCATGAAGGAAACAGAGTTTCAGAGAAGCAGCCCAGTAGGCGTGGCTGGGTTCAAACTGCCTGCTTCTTTCGCTGGGGCCTGGGCTGCAGGGGTGAGGCCCTGGGCCTCCAAGCACAAGCCCAGCCACTCACCAGCCAGGGCCACCACAGGAAGCCCAGGCCTTTGCCTGAGCTGTCCAAAGGGCCTGGGGCTGGGGTGGATGGTGACTCCACCCACTGAAAGCCCTCCCACCCCCACCCTCTCGTGGGGAGGGTCTGCACCCGCCACCCCGCGCTGGAGGAGCCAGAAGTCTGTTCTCTCCCCGACCGCAGCATGCGATGGAGTGACCTAGACTCCACTCAGCGCATGACATCATGAGAAGGGAGCCGGGCCAGAATTATGTCAAGTCTTTGGGGAGTAATAGCAGCAGCAGTTCTCAGAGAGAGAGAGAGAGAGAGAGAGAGAGAGAGAATGTGAGAGAGGAAGAGGGAATGAGAGAGCGAGAGAGAGAAAGACAGAGAATGACAGAGAACGAGACAGAATGAGAGAGAGAATGAGAGAGCAAGAGAGATAGAGAATGAGAGAGAGAAAATGAGAGTGAGAGAGAGAGAATAAGAGAGAGAGAATGAAAGAGAAACGCACAGAGAGAGAGAGACAGGAAGAGAGAATGAAAGACAGAATGAGAGACAGAATGAGACAGAGTTGAGAAAGACAGAAAATGAGAGAGAAACAGAGACAGAGACAGAGGATAAGAGATACAGGGAGAGAGACAGAGAATGAGAGACAAAGACAACAAGAGAATGAGAAACAGAAAGAATGAGAGAGACAGAATGAGAGTCACAGACAGAGACAGAGAGAATGAGAGAGAGAGAGACAGAGAATGAGAGAGAGAGGGACAGTGACACAGAGAAAGAGAGACAGAGACAGAAAGAATGAGAGAAAAAGAATGAGAGAGAGAGAAAAACAGAGATAGAGACAGACAGAATGAGAGAGACAGAGACAGAGAATGAGAAAGAGACAAAGACAGACATTCATTTCTCTTCACTCAGCAGCCAGAAGAACCCTTCAAAAGTATACATTTAATTCTGTCTCTTCCCTGCTAAAAAGCTCCTGGTGATCCCCGACCTACTTAGACACACTTGCAACTCTTCGCTGAGTGGGCCACCCCACCTCCCTTCTTTACTGTTCCCCTCTTAAGCACCAATGTGCGTCGCCACAGGGCCTTTGCCCCTACTATTCCTCTGCCTAGAGGCTGTTTTCACAGTGGCTCCTCAGCTCCTAGCTGCGGATTAAATGCTACCCCTCAGAGCGCCCTTCCTGGACTGCACCGCCGAAATTGCCACCACCATCCCCTGTCCAGTCCTACCCCGTTCCCTGCTCCATTTTCCTGAGCACTTTTCTTCGAAATGGTCTCATTTTCATTATCTGTCTCCACCCAGCAGAAGGTTAGCCCCATGAGGACAACCACGTATCCGTCTTAGCCACTGTAGCGATTCCAGCACCTAATCTCTATCTGACTCACAGTGAAAGACCAGCAAGTCCGTTTGAACAAGCATATAACCAGCCTTGTGATGCAGGTGTGACTAACAAGAGCTAAAGAAAAGGGCCAGGTGCAGTGGCTCATGCTTGTAATCCCAGCAGTTTGGGAGGCTGAGGCAAAAGGACTGCTTGAGCCCAGGAGTTCTAGACCAGCATGGGTAACACAAAGAAACCTCATCTCTACAAAAAAAAAAAAAAGAAAATCCAAAAATTAACTGGGCGTGGTGGGGCAGGCTTGTCAGTCCCAGCTACTTGGGAGGCTGAGGCAAAAGGATCACCTAGGCCCAGGAGTTTGGGGCTGTGGTGAGCCATGAGCATGCCACTGCAGCCCAGCCTGGATGACAGAGTGAGGCCCTAATGCCAGAGAAAAAGAAAAGGAGATTTGGGGAGGTGAAGGCTTGTTCAAGGGCATGGAAACACTGGGATAAGATCCAAACCCAGAGTCCGTGTCCCTAACCCCTCACGTCCTCCTGCTGTGACTCTCTGTGTTACTCACCACCAGCTGGAACCCTGGGCTCCCAGCTACTCTTCCCCAGCCTCAGTGACAAAGGGAAAACCTGGCTGGCCCTCTCTGGGCAGGACTAGGTAACCTCCAAGCACTGAAGTCAGTAACTCCCATTTATCTAAAGCTTACGGTGGGCTGGGCATTGTTCTAACTGCTCTGCATGCCTCATCTCATTTCAGCCTTGCCACCTTCCCATGAGGTTAAAACTATGTAC